TCTACATTTAGCTGTAGAGAGTCTGTTATGCCAGTCGCTGAGTCATTTTCTGGGTTATTTATACTGATGTGGGTGTTATCTATGTGCATCAGTGGGATGGGGTGAGCCTAGGATCCTCCTACTCTGCCATCTTCCCCAGATGTCCTGTGATGACTTTCCTACCATTTTTAAGTTGTCCTTTTCTTGATTCAGCATCTGCTTAGTTGTTATAAACCTTTGACTCTTTTCAAGAGTTCTAGCAAAGTTGGTTCTAACAGTTGCTATTTGCTCTTCAGTGTTTCTATGGAGGGACAGGAGTTTGGAACTGTCTACTTTGCCAGTTTTCTAATATGACCAATGCTAGTGGATGCCTCATTTCATAATTTCTTTGTGTATGTCCCAATTCCCTTCTCTATACAAGTAAATGACACAGGTAGTTTGTAGTAAGGCTTTCCATCTGAAAAAAAGTGATCAATAAAACAAGAAAAGCCCATTTCAGAAGACTAAGACTTTGCCATATTGGGCTTTTGTCCACATTGGTCATAATGGTGAACAACCTCTACTAGAGGGAGCTATAGGCATATCAGTCTTTTCTGGTTCCTCTGCAGAGAAGTCATGAAGACATCTTCTATGTTTCATTCAAGGAACTTTATTGTTTAAGCTTGTAATTTAATTCTGAGATCAATCCTGAATTAATTTTTGTGTTTGGTGTGATGTGGGTGTCAAGGACTCATTCCCCTGTTTATTTATTCAGTTGTTCCAGCACCATTTGTTGAAAAGGCTATTTTCCCCATTACAAAGCTCTGACAACTTAGTCAAAAATCAATTAGCTGTCAGGTGTGGGCCTATATCTGGACCCAAATTCTATAACTTTTATCTATATATCTATACTTATGCCAACATTATGCTGTCCTTATAGCAAGTTCTGGAATCAGCTTTATAGCAAGTTTTTAAATCAGGTAGATGGCCTATTAAACTTTGCTCAAAATTGTTTTGGCTATTTCTTAGCCCTTTGTTTTACCATGCAAATTTTAAAACCAACTTATCAAAGTTAAAATGCCTGTGCTTTTTGGTGGTTGCATTGAATCTGTCTATTTGGGAAGAGTCAACATCACAATAATATTGTGTGTCCCAGTTCATGAACATTGTATGTCTCTTCATATATATCTTCATTAATTGTATATCTCTTTAATTTTATTCACAGTGTTTTGTAGTTTTTAGTGCAGAGCTCTTCTATGCCTTTTGATAAATTTATTGAGTATTTAGGTCTTTTGATACTATTGTAAGTGGAATTTAATTTTATTTGCTTCATCCAATTGTTTGTTACTAGTATATAGAAATACATATTTTTCTGTATATTTCCCTGTGTCCTGTGAGTTTGTTAAATAATTCTAGGAGTTCTTTAGTATTTCTTAGGTTATTCTGTGTAAACAATTATGATTCCTGCAAAATGTGTTTTTAGTTTTATTTTTTCCTTTCTAATCTTTATGCTTTTGTACTATTTCATTATTGCACCAATTAGAGCCATTAAATGCAGTGCTGAATAGAATGGGGGGTGGGGATGAATGTCCTTGCTTTGTTACCAATCTTGGTGTAGGTGGCATTCAATATTTCACCACTGACTATGATGTTAGCTGTAGGATTTTTTATAGATTCTTTTGTTAGATTGAAGAAGTTCCTATTTTTAGGTTTTTAAGAATTTCTAATCCTAAATGAGTGTGAGATTTAGAATTTTATTCAATTATTAAGGACATACGCTTTTATCTTTTTTTCTATTGATATGGTGAATTATATTGATTTTTGAATGTTGAACCAAACTTTCATCTTTGAAATAAATCCACTGGTCCTGATGTATTGTCTTGACTTATGTGTTTCATTTGTGTAGTGCTGGACTTGATTTGGTAACATTTTATTAATGACTTTTGCATCTATATTCATGAAAAATATGGACCTATAGCCTTATTTTCTATTTTAATTTTTTATAACTTTATTTTCTTATCTTTGTTAGATTTTGTTATCATGATTTTACCGGCCACTTAAAATATAATGGGAAGAGTTTCCTCTTTTTGTTTTTTAAAGTTTAACTATTTTTGAGAGAGAGAGGGTGACAGAAAATCCAAAGCAGGCTCCTTGCTGTCAGAGTAGAGCCTGATGTGGGGCTTAAACCCACAAACTGTGAGATCATGACCTGAGCAGAAATCAAGAGTCAAACAGACAACCAACTGAGCCACCTAGGCACCCACCCTCTTTATTTTCTGAGTTTGCATAAAATTGGTATCAGTATCCTTAAATGTTTGGTAAATTTATGTGACTGAATTTATTTGATTGGTTTATGAATTCACCACTGAAATAATCTAGTCCTGAAGGTTTCTTTGTGGGAAAATTTTTTGATAAAAAATTCAATGTACTTAACAGATATAGAGCTATTCAGATATTATATTTTATTGTTATATGTTTTGGTAAGGACTGTGTTTCAAGGACTTTGTCCATTCCATCTAAGCTCTCAAATTTATTATGTTTTGTAAATATTGCCTTATTATTCTTTTAATGCCTGTAGAGTCTATAGTGACATTACTTCTTTCATTGTAGTGATACCCCTTCTCTCATTTAGACATTTGTGTTTTCTTCTTAAATTTTTAAAATGTTAGTTACTTTTGAGAGACAGAGGCAGAGCACAAGTGGGGGAGGGTCAAAGACAGAGGGAGACACAGAATCCAAAGCAGGCTCCAGGCTCTGAGCTGTCAGCATGAAGGCTTCAGCCCAATGAGAGGCTCAAACCCACGAACTAAGAGATCATGACCTGAGCCAAAGCCAGATGCTTAACCGACTGAGCCACCCAGATACCCCAAGAATTGGACACTAAACAAACTGAGCCACCCAGGAACCTCTTGTGTTTTCTTTTTAAATTAGTTTTGCTAGAAATTAGTTTCATTAATCTTTTTAAATAACTAAATTTTGGCTTTATCTCTGTAAATTTTGTTTCACTGATTTCTTTTCTTACCTAAAATATCTGCCTTACTACTTACTTTGGGTTTACTTTTTCTTTTTGTATCTTTCCTATGTGGAAACTTAATTGGTTTAAACCTCTTTTCTAATAGGAGTATATATATCTTTCTAACTACTGCTTCAGCTGCATCCTTCAAATTTCAGAGTGCTATTTTTTCAGTCTAAATTACCTTTGATCTAAAGGTTATTTAGAAATGTATTGTTAATCTCCAGATGTTTGGGGATTTCTTTTTTTTTTTGCTCCTGATTTCCAATTTAATTATTTCTGTGGCTAAGGAACATATTTCAGAAGATTTCAATTCTTTGAAATTTTTTGAGATTTGTTTTATGGAACAGGATATGGCCTGTTTCAGCAAATGCTCTATGTACACTTGAAAATATATACCTTGCAGCAGTTTGGTGTAGTGTTCTGATTAGCATTACATCAAGGCTGTGAATAGTGTTCAAATCATCTAAACCTTAAATGAGTTATTGTTTGATCAACTACTGAGAAGAAGGTGCTACCTTTAGCATGTAATATCACAAGATCTCTCCCCTTTTTCCCACCCTAAATCAAGTCTTTCTCTGGCTGATGGGCTGGAAGACTGCCATTCATGCTGACTGAACTGGGTGGGAGTTGCTGTTCTTGCCAGAATCTTCGGCAGGTTTTAAATTTGTTGACCATCTCTGACAGATTTCTAGTGCCCTAAAATAGGTGTTTTTGACAATTTTGTCTAGTCATATCTATTATCTCTCCATCCATCCATCTATCATTATCATTAGTAGAGGATATTAGTGGAGGAGAGTTGACCTCTTCTATCATAATTAGAAGCTGACTTAATGTTTATATTTTAATATAATGTCTTTAACCTTTATTAAAAATACCGAGAACATTTCTGAATTTCCGCTAAAATCTCTGTTGGAGGTTTCTTAAGTTGTTAAATGTTTTCTGTCTAGAGTAAGTGGGATAAACTCCCTTGAGGATGTAGTATAGAAGGCCCCTGCACCCTTTATGACTTACTTGGTTCTGTCTATGGCCAAAGCACCCTGACTGACTGTGCCTGATCTCATCTGATCTCGGAAGCTAAGCAGGGTCAGGCTTGGTTAGTACTTGGATAGGAGACTTACTTGGTTCCTTCATAACATTCACCAGTTGAATCACAAAAAGTTAAACCTTTGTTTGCTAGAAATGAATATTATAAATTAGAATTTTGTTTTTGCAAACTGATTTATTTCATACCATAAAATACCAAGACATCACATCATAAAGTATTTGCTTTTACAAACATTAAGTATGTAGAATTTCATTCAGTAAATACTTAGAGATTACCATGTGCCAGAGACTGTGTCAGGTACCAGGAATAAAACAAATGTACTCGGGAGGCACTGCTCCTGCCCTCCCCTCAAAGCTAATAGGCCAGTTGTTATAGAGATGATTATCTATAATCAAGTGTGATATCTGCTACCACAGAGGAAGTACAAGTGTTATGGTTGTGCCCAATATCTGTGTTTCCTCCTACAATTTTTCCCATTTTTAGAATTTTTGAGGCTTTAGAAATAAAATATCACGAAAACTAGACTAAAGACCTGTCTCTCATGGTAAGTTTCTGAATGGTAAATACTTGGGGAGGGACAGTTTCCTTGGGAAAGGTTTCTCCTATCCTAAATCTTGAAAGTACATTAGATCACTTGGGTAGCTTAAAAAACAAAACAAAACAAACAAACAAAAAAACCCGTGCCTGGCTCCACTTCTAAAGATTCTATCTTAATTGGCCTGGAGAGGTCTAAGAACCAATGGTTTGGTTTTTTTTTTTTTTGTTTGTTTGTTTTTAATTTTTATTTATTTCTAGGAGACAGAGAGAGACAGCGTGAGCAGGGGAGGGTCAGAGAGAGAGGGAGTCACAGACTCTGAAACAGGCTCCAGGCTCTGAGCTGGCAGTCAGCACAGAGCCAGACGCGGGGCTCGAACCCACGAACCGCGAGATCATGACGTAAGCGAAAGTCGGACGCTTAACCGACTAAGCCACCCAGGCGCCCCTAAGAACCAATGTTTTAAAGTACTCAATGATTTTAGCATGCAGCCACGGTTGAGAACTACTGTAGCCTTTGTTTCCAGTTCCCTCAATATTTGACACCTATAATAAAAGAAGCCTCCTCCTTCTTCAAAATGACACATGAGAAAATTTTCTCTTGAAGTAGAGCATCTAGGAAACACCAAATAAAGCTCCTTCATTTGATTATTACTGAAAATTATTTTAAATTATTGGAAGTTTATAGAAAATAAATATCTTTTCTCATAAATCACACAATGACAAATCAGTAAGATATGCACATCCTGGGAGAAGGACAGACTATTGGAATTCTTTATGACAATTTGTACAGCTTCTTTTTAAAAAGATCATACTCTGTAAAAAACAAATGCAAATGTTTATGATTATATCATCTTTTAAGAAACAATCATTAACAGACCAATATATCCAAAATATTACTGTGATGCAATTACACAGAGCTTTGGTTCAGAAGTTAGACATCCCCAAACATATCCCAGCTCTGCTAGTTATGAGTCCCATGATCCAAATATATCTTAACTCACAGGGTCTCCATTTCCAAATTACAGCACTTACAAAGTTTACGTTAATAGAGTTATAATTGAAAACTTAATGTGTACACTGTAAAAAAATTCAGACTACAAAAGGATATTATCAGAAGGAAAGTATATCTATTTCCCCCCAGTTCCCATGCCTACCAACAAATACTTAACAATTTCTTATTGATCTTTCCAGAAATATTTTGTGTATATTGTAGGCATCATCCATATATATATTCATATATATGAACATATATATGTACATATGCATATGTATACATATTTCTAGCTTTTAATTATGGAATATGATACATACAGGAAAATAAAACCAATGCACAACTTAGTGAACTCATGTTAAATACTCATCTGTGTAACTACCATACAGGTCAAGAAACCCTATAATCTCCTACTGATTGATTCCTTCACAATCACAACCCTCTCCCTACTCTTGCTTTTCTTTATATTTTTGCATCCTAAGTATGCATTTTTAAATGCCATAGTTTAGTGCTAATTTTGAAATTTACATAAAAGGACTCATACTGTAGATTTATTTTTTGGATTTGGCTTCTTTCAATGCTTATTCTATTTGTGAGATTCATCCATGTTGTATTTAGTCTGCTTCATTCATTTTAACTGCTGCATAGTAGGAATTGACAAATTTTTTTTCTGCAAAGGGCCTGATAATCAATATTTTAGGCTTTGTAGGCCAATAAAATCAAGGATATTATGTCAGTGCTCAACAAAGGAAAACAAATTTTCACAAATCTCTTACTGATAAAAATTCAAAAGACAGGAGTAATAATTGACTATAGTTTTTTTAACAAAATAATTATTTAATTTGAGAGAGAGAGAGACTGTGTGTGCACATGTTCAAACAGGAGGGGCAGACAGATGGGGGGGAAAGAATCCCAAGCAGGCTTTGCATCGTCAGCACAAAGCCTGATGCAGGGCTAGATCTCAGCAACTGTGAGATTGTGACCTGAGCCAAAATCAAGAGCCAAATGTTAAACTGACTGAGACACCCAGGCACCCAATGTAGTTTTTTTTTTTTTTTTTTTTTTTAAATAAAATACAGGTCTACTAATGAAAAAAAAACGGAAGTCTCATTTAGGGGATAACATTTTGCTTAATTGAGATTCAGGTCATCAAAACTGATTACATATCACCATTAGCAGATAAACATTTGCATAGAAACCCTCCCTGCAACCATCTCAGTTTTGAAAATGTCACACAGATAGGTGCTGTCAATACTGATATCAATCCATGAGCATATGCTTTTATTGTGCATATTTATTGCTTGGAAGGCATTTACAGAACTCAATTAGATTCTTGTCTTGATATTTCCCTCTAAGCATGTCATTACAATGCATATTATTATCACTTCCAGTTGAAAGTTAGGTAGACATTCCTCCATTGCACAGATAGAGAGACTATGAAATAGGAAGATTTCCTTTGCACTTGTTTCAAGGTCCAAAAAAATGCTCCTAGAAATGTATATAAGTATATAACTCAGAAATCCATAAATGGATTAAATGTCCAAAGGCACTTGCATTACCTAGGAGGAAGATAAAAGTGTTATTTAACATTATCTTTGATAACTCAGAAATTTAAATTCAAAACACATTCACTGCAAATATGTTAGGAATTAAAATCTTGCTTCTTGCTTTAACTTAAAAAAAATTTTATTTTAATTTATTTTTGAGAGAGACAGAGTGTGAACAGGGGAGGGGAGGAGAGAGAGGGAGACACACAATCCGAAGTAGGCTCCAGGCTCTGAGCTGTTAGCACAGAGCCTGACACAGGGTCTGAACTCATGAACTGCTAGATCATGACCTGAGCTGAAGTTGGATGCTCAACCAACTGAGCCACCCAGATACCCCACTTGTTTTAACTTCTGATAGCACAGGAAGTATATAAAGCACTTGCCATTACTTTGTGATTCAATGTTAGCTGTCATTGAAGTGACTTTACCATAGTGTAAGTTCTGCATATAAACTCTGTTTTGCATTATAATTTTAGTTTTGACTCATTAAAAAATACTACCAAGTCTACAGCAAAAGCTAATTTCCAAGGCCATTCAGGATTCTATGATGGTGGATAAGGGCGGTTTTCTTAGAAAAATCTCAATCCGATCTCAAAAACTCACACTGAAATTTAACATTGCTAAGCCATCGAGTATCAGTGAAGTAGGGCAAATCAAGATCTGCAGCTATTTCTGACAAAAAAAATTTCATGTTACAATTAATTAACAATGGCTAAATCCATGAGACTGAGTGAGGATCACCACTGAAACAGCTGGTTAAATAACACATGATAGATTCAAACATGTTTTCACCAGTAAAAGGTTTATCCACCAAAAACCTAATGCTGATGTTCTGAGGAGAAAATTGGCTTTACATTTGATGTTCCTCTCAACTGCAATCCATTATGGTAGCCTATACTGATTTTAAGAATCTTTCTGGTTTCTGTTTCTCCTAGTAAATTAAGACCCTGCTGCCTTTGACAAGCCAGAGCCCCAGCTTATGCCCAAACTTGGCTAATGCCCCAAGGCAAGAAAATGGCCAGTTATCTCAGATCACTTAAGACTTTTCTCTCCACTTTCAGTTCATCTAGTCCCTTCAATTTCCACAGCTCTCCAGTGTCTTTAAAAATATGATTTTTACAACATATACATTATTTTCACTAATTGTTGCAGCTACCTACTACATCCTACCTAGAATCAGAAGATATGTCTATTTTGTTTTATTAAATTCTGTTATTATATTATTTCTTTCCTTTTGCTTTTTTGCGTCTACTTTACTGTTTTTTTTCTAATTTCATGAAAAGGATGCTTAGTCTTTATTTTCATCTTTTCAGACAAATGCCTTACAAATTTCTAAGTGCCACATTAACTGTGTTCTGGAAGTTTGATACATACATTTTTGTCATTTTTTAAAATATTTTCTAGTTCTGTTATGACACTTTGATGAACAGATTTATATCTGTATTTAATTTTCAAATATTAGAATTATCTTGTCATTGATTTCTGGTTTCATTGCATTTTTATCAAAGAATATACTTTGTATGATTTCAACTCTTTGAAAGGGTTGACACTTGCTTTATGACAGTATACAGTCAGGTATTGTAAATGTGTGTGTTCTTGAAAATAATATGCATTCTGTAATTGTTAGATGTAATATTCTATGAATGTGCATTAGGTCAAATTTCTTAATTACATATTTCAAATATTCCATTTTTTACTTTTTTTTCCTTTATTTGCTCCATCAGTTCCTAAGAGAGATTAAAGTTTCCTAGCATTACTTTGGATTTGTCTGTTTCTCCTTGCAGTTCTATTACATTTTCTTTAGGGGCGCCTGGGTGGCTTAGTTAAGCATCTGACTTCAGCTCAGGTCATGATCTCACAGTTCGTGGGTTCAAGCACCAAGTTGGGCTCTGTGCTGACAGCTCAGAGCCTGGAGCCTGCTTTGGATTCTGTGTCTCCCTCTCTCTCTGTCCCTCCCCCACTCACTCTCTGTCTTAGTCTCTCAAAAAAAATGAATAAACATTAAAAAAATAGAAATAAAAATAAAATACATTTTCTTTACATAGGTTGAGGCCATGTTATTAGATTCGTATTTGTGACTCATATCTTCCTAATGAATTAAATTCATCTTTATGAAGTGTCCCTCATTTTGTCTAGTAGAGCTTTATTCCTTAAAGTCTTCTTTGCCTGATATTAATATAGTTGTATCACCTTTACTGTGGATGATGTTTTCATGGTATCTTTTTCTCTCCTTTTAATTTGTAAGCATACTGTATTTTTATATATGCCTCTTACAAACAGCACTTATTTTTTATTAAGTATGACAAATTTTGACTTTGAGCATTTAGTTACATTTAACATAAATTCACGATGAATCAATGATAAACACCTACCATTTTATTCAGTGCTTTCTACTAGTTTTATTTCTTTCCTTTTGCTCTCCTTTCTATCTTCCTTTTCTATTAGAGGGGGGTTAATTCAATTTTCTTCTATTAGTTTAAATGTCCTACATCTTTTTACTTATTATCCTTTAGGATTTACCTTAGAGATTACAGAATGTTTCCTTGAGTTATCAAAGATAATGTTAAATACCACTTTTATCTTCCTCCTAGATAATGCAAGTGCCCTAGGACAATATAATCCATTTATGGATTTCTGACTTATGTGCTACTTATGTTGTATAACTGTATTGCTGCTATTTTTTATTGTTGTTTTACACAGTCAGTGAATATTTATCTACCTGTTCATTTACCTCCAACTTTCCAACTTGGATAAGTTTTCTTCTTTTTGAAAAACATCCTTGTATTTTTCTTGTGGTAATTTCTTGTGGTGAAGATCTTCCAGTGACAAATTTTGTTTCATTTATCTGAAAATATCTTTCACTGTCATTCTTGAAAGATGTATTTGCAAGGTATAGAATCCTATTTAATTAAACTATTTCAGCATTTTGACAATATCATTCCATTATTTTCTACCTTTGTTTCTGATGAGAAGTCAACCATCAGCTTAATTATTCCTCTTCTGAAGGTCATTCAGCCTCTTCTTCTAAAAACCTTTAAGATAGTTTTTCTTTTGTTTCCAGCAGTCATATTGAAATATATCTAGGTATAGATTTTTAATTTTTTCTGTTTGGGGCTAAGAACGCTTCTTACATATTGAGTCTTTCATTGGTTTTAGAAAATTCACATTTCAGGGGTGTCTGGGAGGCTAAGTTGGTTAAGCATCTGACTTCAGCTCAGGTCATGATCTCATGGTTTGTGAGTTCAAGCCCCATATCAAGCTCTCTGCTGTCACTGTGGAGCCTGCTTTGGAACCTCTGTCCCCCCCTCTCTCTGCACCTCATCTGATCACTGTCTCTCTATCAAAAATAAACACTTTTTTAATAAAAGAAAATTCACATTTCCTAAGATTTCTCCACATATTTCTTCTATTAGCAGTCAAATATCTAAAATCAGTGGTCCATGTCTACTATCTTTTTGTCTCTTCCTAAGGATTAAGTTATTCTACACCAGTCCCTGCATCTCCTCTGTAGTTTTCATCTTTCTGTTCCTGTATTCTTTCTTAGGTAAGTTCTTCTCCTCTACCTTCTAATTTACTCGTTTTTACTTCAGCTGTGTTTATCCTGCTCTTAAATCCATGCATTGAGTTTCTCATGTTGACTACTATATTTTAGATTCTAGAATTTTTATTTTCTTCAAATCTGCTTTATCATTTTTATCATTTTCAGTTCTCTTGAAAATTTCAATATTGATTTTCATCTCTTTAAACAGAAATATCTTAGTTCAGGCTGCCATAACAAAATACCATAGAATGGGTAGCTTAAACAACAGAAATTTATTTTTTCACAGTTCTGGAGTCTAGGAGTCTAAGATGAAGATGTCAGCAAGGTCAGTTTCTGGGGTGAACTCTGTTCTTGGTTTGTAGATTGCTGCCTTCTTGCCATGTCCCAACATGGCAGAGGAAAAAAAAAAACAAGCTCTCTGGTGTCTCTTTTTTTAAGAGCATCGTTCCCATCATGGGGGTCTCATGATCTCATCTAATCATAATTATCTCCCACAGTCCTCATCTCTACCTGTCATCATATTAGAGGTTAGAGCTTCAAGATCTGAATTTTGGAAGGACACAAATCCATAACACTCCACCACAGTCCTGCCCTCCCCCAAATCACGTCCTTCTCACATGCAAAATACATTAATTCCAACCCAATTGCCCCCAAAGTCTTAACTCATTAGAGCACCAAGTCTTATCTAAATTTTCTCTAAATCAGGTATGGGTGAGAATCAAGGTATGATTCATCTTAAGGCAAAACTGTCTCCAGCTGTAAACAAGATAAATCATGTACTTCTAAAATAAAATGGCAGAACAAACATAGAATATTTATTCTCATTCTAAAAGGGAGAAATCAGAAAGAAGAAAGGAGTAATGAATGAGTCCCAAATAAGTGCAAAGCCTAGCTAGACAAATTCTATCAGATTCTTAAGCTTGAAATTAATCCTCTCTGCCTCAATGTCCAACCTTCCAGGTCCACTGGGATGTAGCATTACTCCCATGGATCAGGAGGATGGCTCCAATCCTTTGGTTCTGCTATGTTCCATCCTCATGACTTTTGGTAAGGGTCCTGTCACTGCACCTCTGCCTGGGTAGGGTCCCATAGGTGGTCTTACCCTTAAGGTTCTGCATTAAGGCCATCTGACCTTTTGAAACTGAGGCAGTGGCCCTGATAATCTCTCAATTTGATGCTTTTGCACCATAGTAGCTCTGTTGGTGCAACCTGTCAGAGCCAAGAGGTCTGATAGCCTTCTTTCATTTCATCCTGTCTCCATTGCCTTCAGTTCAAACTGGCAGTATTCCTACTCTTATAATCCTATAGGCTCCTTATCAAATAGCTATTTAGTCACACCCTTAGTGTTCTTTTCAGAATACACTTTCTCATTTTTTTTTTATGTTTTATTTATTTCTAGGAGAGAGAGAGAGAGAGACAGCGTGAGCAGGGGAGGGTCAGAGAGAGAGGGAGACACAGACTCTGAAACAGGCTCCAGTCTCCGAGCCGGCAGTCAGCACAGAGCCCGACTCGGGGCTCGAACCCACGAACCGCGAGATCATGAAGTAAGTGAAAGTTGGACGCTTAACCGACGAAGCCACCCAGGAGCCCCAACTTTCTCATTTTTTTGAAATATGGATAGGCTGAGAATTTTCCAAATGTTCAAGTTCCTATTTCTTTTTGCTTAACAATTCCTTCTTGATTTACTCTCTCTCCCTTCAATATTTTACTATCAGCAGTCAGGAGGAACCAAGTCAGTCCTTCAATAATTTGCTTAGAAGTCTTCTCAGCCAACTAACCGATTTCATAGCTCACAAGTTCTACCTTCCACAAAACTCTACGACAAAGTTCAGCCAAATTATTTCCCACTTTATAAATAATTGCCTTCCATCTAGTTTCCAGTAACACATTCCCCATCTCTGACACCTTACCAGAACTGCCCTTAATATCCATGATTTCTAGCATATACCTCACAACTCTCCTGCCTCTAGCCATTCTCTAGTTCCAAAGCTGCTTCCACATGTTTAAATATTTGTTATAGCAGCTTTCCACTCCTGGTACCAAAATCTGTCTTAGATTAGGAAGCCATAACAACATAGACTGGGTGGCTAAAACAATAGAAATGTATTTGCTCATAATTCTGGAGGCTAGAAGTCCATAGCAGTAAGCCCAGTTATTTTTAAATCTAATAATTCCAATATTTTAGATCCATTTAGGTTTGTTTCTATTACCTGTAATTTCTGCTACTGCTTGTTCTCATGTACCTGGATATCCTTGATCATGTTCTGGAAATTGTATATAAAAAACTGTTTTTCAGAGGAGGACTAGGATGATGTCAGCTTTCTACAAAGAGAATTTAAGTTTTGTTTCTGACAAGTTTTCTGACGCAACAGGAATCAATGATCTCTTTAATTCAATTTCTGCAACTGAGATTTTTTTTTTTTAGATCATTCAGATGAATGAAAGCTAAACTGTAGTCTTTGTGAGGGACAGTTATTTCCAACTAACCCTTACTACTGGCACACAGTCTTTTAGAGTCCCAACCCATTGGAAGTGGCTTACCAGGGCCTCCAACTTGACTCCAGTTTTTGTCCCCTTAGTTTTACAAAGCTTGGTGAAAGCATCACTCAGCTTTTCAACCAGATTTTCTAGAATTTGCATATTCCTCCAGGAAAAAAAAAGTGGTTCTAAATGCCAGAACCAACTCTCTTAATTTGTCTTCTCCTAGATATTCGCCTAGAAATTCCTCACTATTAGCTCTCTACTGTTTTCAAGCTGATTAAAAATATTTTTAAATCAATGATCCATGTTTACATCCCTTAGCATTATTAAATAATCTCACATCTGTCCTTCCCTCCTTCCCACAGAGAAGGGAGAAAGAGTAATACATACTATGAGGGCAACTAAACATCATGTTCCAAACATTTTTTTTAAGTTTATTTATTTTTGAGAGAGAGAGGGAGACACTGAGCACAAAGAGAGGAGGGGCAGAAAGAGAGGAGATAGAGGCTAATCTATCTCCCAGCCTAATGCAGGGCTCGAAATCACAAACTGTGAGATCATGACCTGTGCTGAAATCAAGAGTCTGACACTTAACCGACTGAGCCACCCATGTACCCCTTTCTTCTAAACATTTAATAAAGCAGTAAAGAGATACTTTATACTCAGAAGTAAATGCACACCTAGTCAATTTAAACTATGTACATTATTAACCTTATTAAATTTACATATAAGAAAAATGACCAAATATTAAGGGTGATTTCATCACAATAAGATAGGCAAAATGCTATGGTCCTTGAATTTATATTATATACATGTATGGATAACATTCCATGTAAATACATGGTTTATATCTTCAGTGATTTCAGAGGTTATTTTTATTAATTAAAAACAAAAGTTCTGCTATAATTTACAGCCATAGCTAGATATTTAAGAGTCCTTTATCTGTTCTCTCTCTGCTTTCCTTCTTAACTGCCCCCTCATCTCAACATTCCTTCCATGATCCTCTTCACGTCCCAATAGATTCCACTGCAGATGTTCTGTTGGTCACATAAGTGCAGGCAAACCTCTAGTGAAGGGGAATTATTATATAAGATTATACATTTAGTGGCAGAGCTGGCCAACACTCAAACCTTCTGAATGCCAGGCTCAAATTTGCCCCTAAGCCTTGTGCCTTCCCTATCCTGACAGCATGCCAAGCCAAAATAGCAGATGATGTGCTTCCATTAGAGGAGGGTTGAGGGAGAAGGTACAGCCAGAGCCAAAGGGTTCACTTCCTCTCTTATGAGAATTCTCATGAGAAATTGACTTTTTAACTCTGCTCTCCTAATAATTTGATAAGGTAGTCTCAACTATGTTACTAAGCAACACTGCTTGACCCCTGATTGATAACTAACATCTAATTGGAAGGAATTATAAATGAACTATTGATACCTAATAGGAAACCACAGGTTTGAGCATTCCTGAGTGTGCTGACTTCTCTGACTATATGAATCCATTAGGAGGACCCTGGAAACGATGCCTATGGAATCATTACAAGATATACTGGCCTCTGAGGCATGTAAACCAGGGAAGGTCCTGCACCTACATAATGTGAATTTCTTTTCCTTGCACCTGAGCTTTGTAAGCAGGGGACTAAAGAAAACAGCTTGTGTTCTTGTATGTGGATATGGCAAGACCTTCCATAGGGAGAGAAACACCTGATGCTGCCCTGCTTGAAGCCATGGTTCCTGTGTTACATCTTTCTGAGTAGATTGATACTCAAATCATATCAAACCTGGTCTGTTTGCCTTGTGAGCAGGAATGTTTAGTTGAGCCTAAGACCAACTCCTAGTGGGCTAGAATTGGGCAGGCTATGCCTAATGCTATGCTTACAACTAGCATGGCAAGATAGGGATAGCTTGTCTACTCTTTTTAACACAGACACATTTTACAGCTTATTTGTGATGGAGTACCATCATGTATCATAAGGATCCATAAAAAATAATCTGGAATCCTGTTTTCTGGTCACAAGAGTCCAATTGCTATAATATCAACTCTTTTCTCTAATAATTTCAATAGAAGATTCCATAACCTAGATGCAGTGTGCCAATTTAAAGGGGAGTGTTTCACTTTCTTAAACAGTGGACAGTCTTTCCACATTACAGTTTTTAGAGTATGGCAGAGAGCTGAATGATGCTGCCTCTCCTCCTCTCTGCTTCCTTTCAGGTGAAAAATCAAACTCACCTTAGTTGCTTTTCTCATTTTGAGTTTCTTCCTCTAGTAACTTGTCAGTGTCTGAAACCTCATCTTTCTGTTGCTCAACAAAATTCTTTTGGAGCATGGCTTCCGTGTGTCTGTGGATGATCTGATGGGCTGCAAGGATATGCTTCCGCTGTGCGTTCCTCACTGTACCAAAGTGACAAAAATTGTTACTCTGAAAGTCTGAACAAAATCATTCCCAGAGATTTTCAAGAAGGTAGTGACAGAAATGATAACTTTGTAAACCACATATTCCCTTGCTTAAGGCTGATTGGATTAAATGAAAATTAACTGCTGTTTTAAAAGTATACCTTCTATAGGTAACTTGACCCAAAATTTATCTTTTTGAAGTTTATTTATTTTGAGAGAGAGAGCAGGGGAAGAGAGAGAATAAGAAAGCACAGCATGAGCAGGGGAAGGGCAGAGAGAGAATCCCATGCAGGCTCCGCAGTGATAGCATACGGAGCCTGACGCAGGGCTTAATCTGGTGAATGGCAAGATCATGACATGGGCTGAAATCAAGAATCAGATGCTTAACCAACTGAGCTACCCTGGTGCCCCAAAATGTATTACTGCTGCTCCTCTTTTCCCACTCCAGCTCAGTCCAGCCATACTCCTCCCACCACGCTTGCCTCTATTCCCCTCCTCCTCAGCTTCCCTTATCTGCCATATCTGCGCTCCAAATCCTACCCTTTCTGCAAAGCCCAACTCAGGTCCCAGCTCCTCCAGAAGTTTCCTCTGACTGTGTCAGTCCACATTTACCATTGCCACACTTGAGTTTATACAAACCATGCAGCACTGAAGCACTTGATGTGAGTTCCATTTTGTTTTTTTAACTAGATTGTAAATGACTTAGAGTTACAGAACTTGTCTCAACTTCTGTGTTCCTAATATGGAGGACACTTGTTGACTGATGATGAGTTTCTAAGCCCATAGCTATATAAGGCGGTCTCAGTCCATACTTTAAGAATATTTATTATTAAGGATTAGTACATTAAGCATCCCATTTCACTTGGATGCCAGGCATTGATTTAAACCACCACACAACCCTAAAAGAGAGTATTATTAATGTCCCCATTTTCAGATGAGGAAGCTGAGACACAGAGATTAGGTAATTTGCCCCAAATTACACAGCTAGTAAAGGACAGTAAGAAGTACTGTGGATTCTGTGCTATGCAGGTATCAACAAGTTTATATAGGATAAATCACACAGCAATTTACCCTTCACAGTACTATGGTTGAAAGAATGGGGACTTTGGAGTTACACAGACCATTGTTCAAATCTGTAAGTCCTATGTCTCTAAGCACTAATTTCTATAACTGAAAAATGAGAATACACTTACAGCTACTGTAAGAAATTGAGACGTGGCATTTATTTATATATTTATTTAAAACATTTATTTTGAGAGAGCAAGTGAGAGAGTGAGCGACAGCGTGCAAGCAGGGGAAGGGCACAAAGAGAGGGAAACTGAGAATCCCAAGCCCCAGTGTGAGGCTCAATCCCATGAACTGTGAGATCATGACCTGAACAGCAATCAAGAGTCAGATACTTAACTGAGCCACCCAGGTGCCCCAAGATAAGGTACTTTTTAAATGCTTAGTATAGTGTCTAGAACTTAGCATGCACTTAAAAATTGGTGTTTAGTCTCTGGGAAACAATATAGAGGTTCCTCAAAAAATTAAAAGTAGAACTATCCCACAACCCAGGAATTGCACTACTAGGTATTTATCCAAAGGATACAAAAATGTTGATTTGAAGAGGCACAAGCACCCCAATGTTTATAGCAGCACTATTGACAGTAGCCAAATTATGGGAAGAGCCCAAATGTCCATTGACTGATGAATGGATAAAGATGTGGTATATATATTCAATGGAATATTACTCAGCAATAAAAAAGAATGAAATCTTACCATTTGAATTAAGAGTATATTATGCTAAGTGAAATAGGTCAGAGAAAGACAAATATCACATGATTTCACTATGTGGAATTTAAGATACAAAACAGATAAACATAAGAGAAGAGAAGCAAAAATAATATAAACACAGAGTGGGAGACAAGCCATTAGAGACTCCTAAACACAGATAACAAACTGAGGGTTCCTGGTGGGGTGCTGGGTGGGGAGAGAGGGGGCTGAAAGGGTGAGGTGAATTAAGGAAGACCCTGGTTAAGATGAGCACTGGGTGTTATATGTAAGTGATAAATCACTAAATTATATTCCTGAAAAAATATATTTTGATTAAAAATAGAAATAAAATAATTGGTATTTATTGTTATTTTACATCTATATACAGGTCTCTTCAAGGTCTTTTTGATCTATCACATCTTAGAAAAATGAAGTATCACAAAATAGTCTGTATATATTATCTTAATTTAGGGTAAAGAGAATATATAATACATATGGTTCTCTTATTTGAAAAGAGAAACAGAAGTATGCTCCCTTACACATGGCTTTCTCCATTTGGTAGACATACAAAGGGAAGAGGCTAAGGACATACCCAGCTTACCCACAGATTCCTTCAGCTCCAGTACCCCTCCAGCTTCTTCCCTCAGAGCCTGGAGAAGCTAGGGGAGAGAGTCACAAACTAGTAGCTATTAAACTCACTATTTCCTTGCCTTTTTCAATCCCCTCAGGTAAAACTGAACTGAAGCAGGCTGACCTCACTCTGGACCTCAAAAAATTAAAAAGGTGTTGCATATTTTCTTAAAGCTCTGAAAACACATGATCCCTTCTATCAGGTGACACAGAAATATTATTTTATCTGAAAATTAAATATTGTTAGAATCAGCATTATCCTACACGGTTGACAGGAATATGAATTAGAACAATCTTCTTGTGGGGGCAATTTGGTAGTATCTAGCAAAACTAAATTGCATATACCCTATTTCCAGTGCTGTGCTGCTAGGAATTTACTGTCAGAACCATGACCAGGATATATGTAAAATCTATTGACAGCAACACTGCTAGTATAGGAAAACACACTGAAAGAAAGTAAATGTTTATCACTAGAGGGCACCGGTTTAAAATTACAGTACAGTTATGTAATGGGAAAATAGGATATTTCCTTGTTCTCTTCAAGTGCATTAGAACTCCACCATTCCTTTATCTCTATTAGGTGATATGAAATGGTATACCTAAACCTGTCCAGAATTTCCCTGCACAACATGGAAACCTTTGGAGCTGTTACTTCACTATTTTTTTCCATTTGATTATTTTTTGATTGTGAACATTTCAGGCTTATAAAGATCATTCTTTCTCTTTTAAAATTCCAGTATAATTAATATAGTATTATATTAGTTTCAGAGGTACAATATAGTAATTCAACAATTCTATACATTACTCAGTGTTCATCACGTTGTGTACTCTTAATCCACTTCACCTACTTCACCCATTCACTCCTGACTGGTAACCTCCAGTTCTCTATATTTAGGAGTCCACTTATGTACTTTTTTCCTTTGTTCATTTGTTCTGTTCTTGTTATATAACATGAGTGAAATCATATGGTTTTGGTCTTTCTTTGACTGACATATTTCACTTTGCATTATCCCCTCTAGATCAATCTGTGTTGTTGCAAATGGCAAAATTTCATTCTTTTTTATGGCTAGGTAATATGCCATGGTGGATATAAACCAGATCTTCTTTATCCATTCATCTATCAATGGATACTTAGGCTTGCTTCCATAATTTGGTTATTGTAAATAAGGCTGCAATAAACACAGGGGTGCATATATCTTTTCAAATTAGTGTTTTCATATCCTTTGGGTAAATACCCACTAGCAGAATTACTGGATCGTATAGTAATTCTATTTTTTATTTTTTTGAGGAACCTCCATGCTGTCTGTACAGTGGCTACACCAGTTTGCATTCCCATCAACAGTGCACGAGGGTTCCTTTTTCTGCACATCCTTGCAAACACTTGTTTTTGCCTTCTATTTTAGCCATCCTGACTGGTAGGAGGGAATATCTCACCACGGTTTTAATTGCATTTCCCTGATGATTAGTAACGTGAGCATTGTTTCATGTGTCTATTGGCCACCTTTATGTCTTCTTTGGAGAAATGTCTGTTCATGTCTTCTGCCTATTTTTAAACTGGATTGTTTTCTGGTGTTGAGTTGTAAAAGTTCTTTAGATGTTTTGGATACTAACCCTTTATCAGATATGTTAGTTGCAAATATCTTCTATTCAATTGGTTGGCTTTTAATTTTGCTGAATGTTTCATTTGTGGTGCAAGAGATTTTTATTTTGATGCAGTCCTCGTAGTTTATTTTTCCTTTTATTTTCCTTGCTTCAGGAGAGATATTTAGAAAAATGTTGCCAAGGCCGATGTCAGAGAAATTGCTGCCTGTGCTCTCTTCTAGAATTTGTATGGGTTTAGGTCTCACATTTGGGTTCCTAATACATTCTGAATGTATTTTTGTATGTAAGAAAGTAGTCCAGTTCTATTCTTTTGCATGTAGCTATCCAGTTTTCCCAACACCATTTGTTGAAGAGACTGTCTTCCCCCCCTGTACATTCTTACCTCCTTCATAAAAAATTAGTTGACCATATAATCATGGGTTTATTTCTGGGCTCTCTATTCTGTTCCATTGATCTATGAGTCTGTTTTTTTGTGCCAGTACCTTACTGTTTTGATTACTACACCTTTGTAGTGTTCTTGAAACCTGGGATTGTGATACCTCCAGTTTTTCCCTTTCAAGACTGTCTTGGCCATTCAGGGTCTTTTGTGGTTCTATACAAATTTTAGGATTACTTGTTTCAGTTCTGTGAAAAATGCTGTTGGTATTTTGATATGTAGATCGCTTTGTGGAGTGTGAATATTTAACAATATTTGTTCTCCCAACCTATGAACATGGAATGTTTTTCCATTTCTTTGTGTCTTCTTCAATTTCTTTCATCAATGTCTTAAAATGTTCAGGGTATAGGTGTGTCACCTCCTTAGTTAAGTTTATTGCTAGGTTTTTAATTCTTTTTGGTGCAATTATAAATAGGATTGCTTTCTTAATTTCTCTTTCTGCTACTTCATTTTTAATAAATATAAAAATGCCAATGATTTCTGCACATTGAATTTGTATCCTGCAACCCTACCAAATTCATTCATCAGATCTAGTGAGTTTTTGTGGAGTCTTTAGGTTTTCCTCTATGTATTA